TCATCAAATGACATTTAATTTAATCATCAATATTAATTATTGGTATTATAAAGTGTGATTTTGGATAAAATTAGTATGTTTAGTGTAAGTAGGTTAGTTTTTATGAATATGTAAAAATTTCAATATCTTAAAAATATTTTTTTTATAAAATATTTGGTTAATATAATATTATGGATTTTTATTAATATATTCCACATTATAATAATAAAATTAATAATATTATAATCCATATTATGGATTTAGTCAGGTGGGCATATTGTGTATTTTGCTTATAATAGCTGGGCTGTACATACAGCCACAGCCCAGTTAAAAGCAAAATACACAATAATTTTATTAATGGTTATTGGAGGCTAATAAGTGCATGTGATGATAAGCATAAATTTGTTTAAATCGACTCACTCAAACATAGCCTTTTTAATCCATGAAATGGCTGAAAATAGTGATTTTTCGAAAACATGAATTTTTATTATATTTTTTTGAACTCTTAGCCAATATTATTTGAAAATGTTTTCATTGCTTTTATATAGAGTAAGATCTATGGTAACAAACTACATTAAAAAAATTTTGCTGGCAAGTTGTTCTAAGAATATATGAATTTATAAAATTAGACAATTTTGACAAAAAATTGCATTTTTAAAAAAATTCCCAAAGACCATTTAGGGCATCAATAACTAAATGTGTCCTATATGGTTTAAAAGAGAAATATTTTCTTAACAATTAACAGTTTGTTTCATGTCGATAGCTTTATTAGCAAAAAAAGTACAATTTTTTTAAGTTAGCTATGCATAGTAACTTTTGCGTAGCCCTGTATAAATAGGTAATAGGGGGAGAAAAGAAAAGGGGAGTTTTTTTCACTTCTTGGGTCCATGTCTATTTACAGTTAAAAAAGAAATAAAATTAGAGTATATGAGGTGCACTCATTGGTGGCTAATAAATGGAATTACCCTATATGTATATATTATTATAATTTTATAGTAGAAAAAGTATAGTATTGAACTCGTTTATAAACTTTTCTAGACACTAATTTAATTAAACACTCGCTCGCAACCTCGCTCATGCCTAATTTAAATTCGTGACTAAAATGGCGTTTATCAAACTTAATACATAATATGCTATTTTCAAAGAGGCGAATAAAACAAGTAATTTAATTTTAAATTCCTACTATAATAACAATAATAAAATTAAATTATGTATAACTGACCCACCCAAAGCTAAACTGCAATGTGATTTGATGCATACTTTAGCTAATGAGACAATTCATTGATAAATAGAAAAAACGGGTTCAGTTGTTCATACAAATTAATTAAATTATCGTTATGAATTATTTTTCTTTGCATACTTTCTCACCTAATTAGTAGTTAATTGTTTTTAAATTGCCATCACACTTTTGCTTAATTAAAATCTTTTATTTTGATAAAGATTAATTAAGTTAATTTAAGAAAACTAAGAATACCTACTGCATTTATTAATTGGTAGTAAAAAAGTTCTTTTAAAATAAAATAGTGTTAAACAAAAGTTTTTTTAATTTTTGTATTCCTATTTAAGATCATATTTAAAATTTTTGACATTTGAATATGAAATGCAGTCAAATAATTGAGGTTATGTATATGTCGGTTTAACGCCAATTTTGTCTTATTTTTTTTTAAATTATACAATAAATTTATTTTTTGTTATAAATTAAGATCCTTATACACAAATATATGGTATTTTTTTTAGAAAATAAGACGAAATTTATGTTAAACTGACAGATAAATAACCTCCTAATCCAAATGTCAAAGTGGGACTTTTTGATATTATTCATTTGTCTTTTCAATAATTGAAGTCAAATATTAGCAAGTTTTACAAATAAAATAAATAATTCCTCTATGAGTACAATATTTTAGAATTTTAGTTTATCAAAAATCAAATTTGTTTCTACCGTTTGCGAAACAGTCGGCCTTTCTCGTAAAATTAAATATGTAGATCACGGTGTCCCTGAATAACTTTTAATTGAAAGGCTCAGACGTATCCGATTTTTTTTTCATATTTTGATAAAAAATCACTTACAAGATAATTTTTTTCAGGATAAACTCAATTCGCTTTTTTAGAAAAATCAATTTTTATAAAAACATTTATAATTTTTAATCAATTTTTTGAGAATTTTAATTAGTGAACTCCAAATAATGACTAACAGCTTTTAATGTATTTGTTACATAAAATGTGCAATTCATTAGACTAGTGAACTATTGACATATGTCACTTGTCACATGTCACATGTCGAAATCGTGATTGAAAATACCGTTGCGTTATTTTACCGTTTTTTTTTCAATTTGTCGCAGATTTATTTATAAATTAGATATAAATAATTATATTTGCATTAATAAGGCTAATAAAAAACCATGCAAGGACTCACTCGGATAATCGCGAGAGAATTTGTTTGTTTTGTCTTGAAAAAAGAAAAAAATGTCTAAAATATGTGGAAAGATTCTGGAAAAAGTTAAAAGCATAGCTTTAAGTCCGAAAAAAAGAAAGAGCGATAGTAACTGCTGCTGATGTTTCGGACTTAAAGTTTCACTAATATCGTTTTTAATATTTTCTTCTTTTACTCCAGGTTTACATTTATGTTTTTACCGCGCCCACCAACAATACTTGACAAACATTTGAAACATTTTCTCACCACACGCTTTTTTTCTTTTTTAATGGGTTTATTTTTAGCACTTTTTCTTCATTGCACTATATACTATAATCAATGCAAATATAATTATTTATATCTAATTTATAAATAAATCTAGATTTATTTATAAATTAGATATAAATAATTATATTTGCATTGATTATAGTATATAGTGCAATGAAGAAAAAGTGCTAAAAATAAACCCATTAAAGGTGCTTTCCTTTTGCCACGATTCTTAGATATTCTTACCTCACCTTGGTTTATCTCACTTTAGAGACCGTTCCATTTGCAAAATGACAGGTAAGCCAAAGTGAGAATTTTACCTCCCCCCTTACCGATCAAGCACAACCTCCGGAGCACACTTACAAATGATAAATTTTGATTACTTGGTGGTGAGGATAGATGCACGCCAAAAAGTGAGGTTGTACACTTTCTATCAAACAAAACAGAAGAAAATTCAAACAATATTAGTGATGGGCATAATCGGATTATATCAATAACCGATTATATCCGATACGATTATTTCAATAATCGGATGATAATTCGATTAAATAATCGGCCATTATAAATCGCATACTTTCATTCGGATTTCAATATCGGAATAATTTAATCGAATTGATAATTCGAATGAAAGTATGCGATTAATAATCGCCGTTTATTTTCGAATTAAGTAATCCGCGATTATTAATCGCATATTTTCATTCGGATTTCAAATTGAATGATTCATTCGGCGACTAGAATACCTACAATTGTAGGTATGACTATTTAAATAGTAATTTACGATTACGATGATACGATACCATTAAAGTAGTATTTTCAGAATCGCTGCTGAATATTACTATCGCTAACAAAAAAAACTCATACAGCTTAAGAATCTAGTGTTCCTGATTTTCTATCATTTCGTTGGAGTAATTATGGCTTTTAACATGATACGTCACATTTGAAAGGTCTAAAATTAAATACAAAGTTAGGTTGAAGTTTAAAAAAAAAATAATATTTCGTCATCCCTCTGTTTTTGTCAATTACTGCCCGCAAACGGCAAAGCATGGAAGTCGCCGTCTTGCTTTATCTAGTTCCAAATGGCTTCAATGGCTTGCCAGAGTTCGTCTGCATTGTTTGGTTGAAAATGTTGTTAAAAAAGTCATAATGGATGTGACAGCTCGATGTCAGCTTGACATTGACGAAAAAGTTTTATTCACACAGCCACAATATAGCTGTATGAGTATTGTTAGCGATAGTACATTCACTACATTCTATAAAATTAAAGAATAAAAAAAATGGTATTTATTATTGTTTAAATTGGATTTATATTTTAACTACCTGTATTATTTGATTCGACATTTTGTTCGTTAAGTCTTTAATCTTTGCGTTAAACCGTTGAGGGAAATGGTTAAACCACAGAACATAAAGCCTGAATTATAGATTGCCTTCCTTCCTTCCTTCCTCCCGTAGAAGATGAACATTACGTAATTGTCACCATTAACATTTCCCGTTTAGGTATTTTTAATACTTTGTGATAAAATTTTGCAATTATAGTAATAAAAAAAATCAAAGAATAAAATATTTTCTGAACAAAATCATATTTTTAAGTAATTTTAATATTTTAAATTATCAATAATTGTTAAGTTTAATTAAAATTAATAACGGACAATGTTAATTGTGACAATTACATCAAAAATGTTTATTTAAATCGTATTGCCAGTTATAGATTCCCGTACCGTACGGGCACGACTACGGGAGGAAGGAAGGAAGGCAATCTATAATTCAGGCTTAAGGGTTAAACTGTCAAGTGTCACTTTTAGAGAAAATAGGCTTACCAACCGTTCCTTTGGTCTATTTTAGGTAAGATGAGTGCGCGTAAGTGGCCTCGCTTATCTCACTTTTGCTTGGCTCACTTCAAAAATGAAAGGAAAGCACCTTAAAAAAGAAAAAAAGCGTAGCTACGACAAATTAAAAAAAACGGTAAAATAACGCAACGGTATTTTCAATCACGATTTCGACATGTGACATGTGATAAGTGACATATGTCAATAGTTCACTAGTCTAATGAATTGCACAAATACATTAAAAGCTGTTAGTCATTATTTGGAGTTCACTAATTAAAAATCTCAAAAAATTGATTAAAAATCATTAATGTTTTTATAAAAATTGATTTTTCTAAAAAAGTGCCAAGCGAATTGAGTTTATCCTGAAAAAAAAATTGTCTTGTAAGTGATTTTTTATGAAAATATGAAAAAAAATCGGATACGTCTGAACCTTTCAATTAAAAGTTATTCAGGGACACCGTGAGATACCTAGATAAAGTGTTATTTTATAAAAATAAACTCATTCCATATTTTTTTTCTAGGCCATGGTTGCCTGTTATCCAGGATTGGGATCTCACTACGTTATGCATGTGGATAACCCAAACAAGGATGGAAGATGCATAACAGCCATTTATTATTTGAATCTGAACTGGGACGTGCAACAGAGCGGCGGTTTGCTCAGAATATTCCCGGAGGGATGGAGAGGGGACAAGGTAAGAAAAAACAAAATATAAAATAAATAAATAAAAAAAATCAAAAAATGAAAAAAAAATGATAATTAAAAAAGTTTTTTGAAATATTTTGCATTTTGAAAATCTTTTACTCCGCGTATCGTTTGCTACCTTTAATTTATATCTATATCCAGGAGGCTGTAAAAAATAGGCAATCTATCTTACGGCGGCCGCCATATTGGATTGATTTATTTTCCTCTGCACAGCCACTCATTTCTTACGCCACAAACATAGAAGAGAATATGATCTTTAGCTGTGCGCACGCAACTTCCGTTTCATGCTAAAATTTTGAAACCTTTTAATCGAGTTGATTTTTGTCAAGCATTTTTAAAAATAATTAATTAACACTTTTTTATGCGATTTTTTTTATTCGGAATTTAACAAATATTCGGGGCATTTAAAAAAAATGTCAAAAGTAAAATTAAGGCATTGAACAGGAGTAACATAAAGTGTTGATCATGATAAACTGTATTTTTGGACCAAAATAAAGTAGGTCAGTTTTTGAGAGTAAATTTTTATGAATTTACATAAGCAATTTTCTTTAAAAAATCTATGCACGGCACTGAATTCACCACCCCTCAAAATGACCCTATACTAAATTTTTTTGAATTTTTTTAAGTAGGAACGATTTTGTAGCCAAATTTAAAAAAATAACCATAATAATAAGTAGAGGTGAGGCAAATATAATTGTAGAGAATTTTTGGAATTCTTTATTTTTTGTTTCATTGTTTTAATTTTCTATTGCGTTTTTTTATTTATCAAAACTAAGCATAAGAATATTTATACCATGTTACTATTAGTTTAATTTTATTTCAATGTTTTTTTTCATGGATAACTTAAAAGAATACATTTTTGTAAATAGTAATTATTGTGCATTTTTAATTTAGCTACAAAATCGTTTTTAATTAAAAATTTTCAATAAAATTTAGTATAGGGTTAAGGGGTGGTGAATCCAGTGCCATGCATAGTTTTTTTTAATCTCTAATAAAAATTCTTAAAAATTTACTCTAAAATACAGGGTGAGTTTTAAGTTGACGCGTTCCTTTTAACAGTGCGTAGAAATCAGCTAGACAAATAAATATTTTAATTAACTTTTTTATCAAAACTCAAAAATAAAAAAGTTATAGCCCATCAAAGTTTAATTAAATTTTAAGCCGGTCCTGGCTATTGTTAACGAAAAACATAACCATAAAAATATTAAAATAAACATTGCAAAATGTCATATTTGACAACAAACATAACCATTTAAATCAAATTGACATTTTGTAATAAAAAATGTCATTATTTACTTAAGTTGCAGCATTTGCATTTTGACGACACTCTTCATAAATTAGTAACATTTCCACTAATTCATTATTGCTATAATTATGAACCATTTTTAACAATAATTGAGGCACAAAAAAACTGACATTTTTCATTGCTAAATGTCATTTTGATTTAAATGGTTATGTTGTCACAGATGACATTTTGCATTGTTTATTTTGTTATTTTTATTTTTATGGTTATGTTTTTTGTTAACAATAGCCAGGACCGGCTCAAAATTTAATTAAACTTGGAAGGCCTATAACTCTTATTTTTGAGTTTTGATAAAAAAGTTACTTAAAATATTTATTTGTGTATCTGATTTCTACACGCTGTTAAAAAGAACGCGTCAACTTAAAACTCACCCTGTATACTTACACTTTAAAACAAATCCGGTTAAAATAGCACAATAAATAAAGATTTTACACGGGTGAGTCGCAAACAAATTTGTCACACGGTATACAGTATCAACATAATCAAATGTGCCAAATTCCGAATTAAAAAAAAACAAATTTTAACCTTTTTTACTTATGTTCTGTGCTGTTTTAGGTTGCCGATATAGATCCAATTTTCGACCGCCTACTATTTTTCTGGTCGGACAGGAGAAACCCCCACGAAGTTCAGCCGGCCTACGATACGCGTTACGCGATTACTTTGTGGTATTTCGATACGGTGGAGAGGGAGGAGGCGCTAAGGCGGTTCGAAAAAGAAAGTAAGTTGTCTTGATATGGTGTGACTGTTAGCAAGTCATAAAATTATCTTTAATAGAATTTTCCTACCATAACTAAACATTACAAAAAAAAAATTGATTTAAAAACAAAGTTAATATTTATTGATGTTTATTATCAATTTGTTCCTTTGTTAAATATTTTTTTACCCACAATATTAATGGGTCATAAAATTAAGGCTTTTTGTGCTACACTAATGTACAAAATTATTTTAATATACTAATTCGAATAAAACCTATTGAAATCTAAATCTAAATAAATTCTCCTACATGGTAAATATTAACAAAATACGTTTAACTCGTTTCTAAGTTTTGATTTTATTATTAAAAAATTATCAAATATTTTTATTTTAAACCTTTAGTTAATAAATCTTCCTTCATAATAAATGATAACATAAAACATTAAAATAGTAAACAAGGTTTTACAAGTATTTAAGGTTTTTTAATTTAAATTTTATTTTAAAAATGTGGTTCATGGTCCTAAAAGCGTTTTTCACTTTTGTAGTTCAAAAGTGCATTGTTCTAGAAGATTTTGACTATTTTACAAATTTCCAAAATTTGTGAGCATCTTAGATACGTCATATTTTGTCTGAAAAACAGTTGTTAAGGAAACCACATAAACCAGGGATCTACAGCTAGCAAGCAAGCAAGTTAACATGGTTGACATCCTCATAACTTTGTTATTTTTTAATAACAAATTACAAATTTTATTTTCGAAACGTCCTTAGATAATAATTATTTGACGAAACTAAGTAACTAAAGTTTACTTGTCGAAATTTTTTGTAATTTTTTCCTACGTAAAAAACGTTTTTTAGATTTAAAAAACTAGAATAAAAACGGTTTTTTTCAAAACCGCCAATACACTAATAGTAGGTACTAATAGTACAATAATAGTATATTGTGTCAATAATTAACATTCTACACTTAATAATAATAATTTAGTCAAGTCTTGAGGTCTTAACCTTAATTTGATTTTTTTTGCTGTTGACTTTGGAGAAAAAAGTAATTTTTTTGTAGGAAATTTATCCTATGCTAAAATGTCTTAAACTAATATTTTAAGAGATATGTACAAATTTTAATTGTTTGTGGTATCTAGTAAATAAAATGAGTGTAAATGACATTATTAATATTAAAATTATTTAATTATAAACTCTTAACATTTTGCTAAAATTTTTAATTTTGTAAATCTCTTAAAATAATTAATTTTAGAGATTCTACTTATGGGTATTTCCACGAAACCTTACCCACCTTGACAAAAAATCAGATGTGTTATTTAACAAAATAACAACTATGTATATCTGAAGTCAAATAGTTTAATTGCGACGTAATTTATAATATTATAATATTCGTACACTGTGATGCTAATAGGCTAACATTAAGAATAAACACGGAAGAGTTTCAATAGTTGATAAAATGTTCAAATGTCGCACCCGTTACATTTTAAGAAAAATTTAGAAAATAAAGTAAGCAATTTTTGTGCATTTAAAATACGTGCTTGTTTAAGGTTACTATTAAAGTTTTACACAAAAAATTATTACTATTTGCTTTCATCCAAAATTTTACAATATCAACTTTAGAAGCCCACTTGGTCGCATTTGTCGATTTTCTAAGGTCGCGCCTGTTACGCTATTCATGACGTTATAAAAGGTTTTTTATACAAGTTTTTATTGACATTTTGTTTGAGTTAAATGCCTAATATTTCAAACTATTTTTTTATATTAACGTATTTTGATATATATGAACAAACACTTTATTATCATGAAAAAAGCAGTTTTAGTGTCGCACCCGTTACAATGGAAATACCCTTATGACCTTCTTTGTAAAGAACTTATTAATTTTATACTAAAAATGTTTTTACTTTTTTCTTTTCAAAAAACAAGTTTTTGCTAAAATTTTAAATATTACATATTTTATTACTTAATTAAATTTGTCCTCTTTGCGAAAAAGGAAAAAAAAATACAAAAGTAGGTACATAAAACGTAAAAAACACCAACGGTGAAAAAAAATTTATAAAAAAACGGATGTTTTTTTACGTGACATCTCTAGGTATGGTGTTGGTGCGCCATTTTTGGGATATCCTGTATACATAGGGATCAAAGTTATGCACTATAGCTTGTATTTTATATTCGGAATTTGACAACGAAATTTGATTATGTTGGTACTGCATACATACATAACACAAAACAGCATTTTGATGAAATAATTCATTTGTGCTGCACAAATCCACTAAATTATTTTGTTTTATCAATGTAGCCAATTATAAATTTAGGGTCCCTAGTATTTGCCAACTAAACCCCCAAATTTTTAACGTCAAATTCCAAATAAAAAAATGTATCTTTTATTCAATTTTGTATAATTTGTATTATGAAAATTATTTTTTTACTTTGAACATCATTTTTATGTTATTGTTTTAAGACAAACCAGATTTACATAAAGTATATCCAAAAAAAGTATTTTACATTTCTCAGAAAATTTAATTGTTGATAAAAGTTTTGGCTTGGTTTCAAACCCCCAGAATATGCATACATTATTTTTATTGTCTATGGTTAATTTGCAATTTTGATTTTTCTGAAAATTATAAAATGAAATTTTAATAAAAACCATTTTTGGTCTGTTTTCGTTCATTTGTCATTTTCTTTCCAACAAATGAATATCACAGTAGGTAGAAATCTCTCAAGAATTCTCCATGGACGTAATTAATTTCTTAACTTATGGCGATAAATTGAATAGTAAAAGCTTTAAGTAAACATGATTACTTTTGAGTAATGTTTGTTAATTAATTACTTTTGAGAAATAACAAAAGAACAAAAATGTTTTTAGAAAATTTTTAAAAAAATCTAAATTGCAAATTAACCAAAGACAATAAAAATGATGTGTTGTATTTTCTGGAGGTTTGAAAACTGGCAAAATGTTTTATAAAGAATAAAATATTCTGAGAAATGTAAAATTTCATTCTTTCATTTTCAAACCATGCCACCCTATGTAATAAAATCACACTACTATTTTATTAATTTTGAAGGAAACAGCACAAAACCGCAGCCTCTGTCGAAATGACCCCGCGTCCAGAACAGACGCCGAAACCAATAAGAAGACTGCGTTTGGTGGTTCTTTTTGAAAGTGATATCTTGAGTTTAGTTGTCTAGTAGTGCGACGAAGTTTTTTTTATAAACCTACAGCGCTATCTCGGTTTAATTAACGATGAGGAAGTTTTGAGTGCCCACCGACGAAAAAAGTAACTGATTAAACAATTTCTCGATGGAAACGCTCTTATTTGTGTGATATTTAGACTATTTTCCAGAATCTTACTTACCCACATTTATAATCAATTATTTTCACTAATTCATTAACAAAATACTGCTAGTTTGCAGGATAGTTTATTTTCTTTATGAAAAAAACAATTTTACATAATCAAATTAGCTACATTAAATGTGGTCAAATTTTGTTCCAGTTTATTTGGACATACAACACTGCGCGTCAAAATTAACGCATAATAAGTAAAAAAATTCTAACTCTAAATCGCCTTTACCAATCTTTATAAAATTTTGGATATTTACTTTAACGTATATATCAGTTTACGTGTTCAAGTTTTTTTACTATTAAATAAAAGGGCTTTAAGCTTAATTTTCATGTATCCGTTTGTCCGTCATCCGTATGTCAGTTTTTCAATAAAATCGTCCGGCAAGAAATGTTCTAATTTTCATGCATCCGTAATTTAATGACGTTTAACGGATTAATTTTGCGACAAATAGAAATTAAGTGTCAGTATATTTACTTACTAAATTTACCTAATGCTTAATTGTCATAGTTACAATTGTGTCAACAATTGTAACTTTAACAGTTAGCTGTCTAATAAATTTAAAGGTAGGTAAATATACCTTATAAAAAGAATATACTAGCCCTAATATACATTAAAATGTATAGTTTTAAAAAAGCAGGTCCTTTTAGTTCTAGTTTTAATTTTTTTTTGTTTGTCCTTTGTTTTTTTTTTTCGTTATTCTTATTAAATAAAAACTTAACAGTAAAACATTATTCACATAACGAACGTAATATTTTCGTTTTACAATCTCATTGAAAAAATATAAAAATATTTGAAAATAAATTATCTTAAAATAACGTTAGGCGTCAAAACAGATGTTTAGTGACGGATGAGTTAAAATTATTTAACCTTTCTCTGTCAGACGTACGAAGTTGAAACTTGACGGACCGATAAAATGTCATAATTTTCGAATTATAATTGGACCAATAAGAGCGCTCCCGGATGAACGGACTGACGGACAAACGGATACATGAAAATTAAGCTTTAAAAATATTTTCTCGAAAAACCCTCGAACACGTAAACTAAGATATAAGTCGAAGATTGGTAAATGCGTGGAATATTTTTACTTATTATGCGTTAATTTTGACGCGCAGTGTATTTCACTAATAATACTTTTTTCTTATAATATGATTAATAATATTATTATTCAATATTTATAAGTCAATATTTGTTGCTTTATTATAAATTATATAATTTTTTAAAGAAAATAAACTATTTTGTTATCACTTGTATATTTTGTACCTACCTGTTAACTTGTTTGTAACAATTATTATTGTATGTATTTTGTAGAAACAATCATTAAATTTAAAGTAGGTATATTTTTTCAAAGACTCAACTTATGCTTTAAACCTTTGTCAATTAAATTGAACTTAAAATACTCTTGTTTGTTTGAAAAAGTACATGTTTCTTCAAGATTATTATAATTATTATTATTAATATTTTGTAAATTATATGCAAATGTATGAGTATACATATGTCACAGAGTAAAAGTAAAATATATTTTATTACTGCATAGAGTGTATATTAATTATTTAAACCTGTGAGATTTACTAATAAATTTATTACTAGGGTTAGTTAACCAGTAATTGACCAGTTAAGGAAATTTTCGTGAATAAATTATTATATTTTCCTCTATTTTTAGTTTAAAATAAAATAAAAAATATCATTGAGTTTAATTTTGTTTTAAGATTTGATAACAGCTGACTAAAAAAGAAAAAGAGTTTCTATGCCGACGAAAAAAAATTTAATGCACGAAAATTCATGATTTTCCAGTGGTTGACCAATGCCTTGTAAGCAGATATCATTAATAAAACTGTGCCATCTAGAAGTTAAGGGGTAAAACACTATGCAAATAATATAAGTTTTTAATTAGGTAATACAGGGACCTTGCTTTTATCATTTAATCGGTAACTTGGTCAATAACTGGTTGATGGTCAATTACTGGTTAACTGACCCTATTTAAAACCTGTTATTATTTAGATTTGCAATATTTTAATACCCTCATACATTTTTTTAGCATTAGTTTTTAGTAGAGATGGGAATTGGAAAGTTTTCATTTTGGAAAGTTTTTAGTCGGGAATTTATTTTCCTTTCTAATGTTTTTTTTAAAGTTACCAGAAACTTTCCTTGGAAAGTTTTTCTGTTTTTTTGTCAATTGTCAGCTAATTTGCGAAGTTAAGGGCATGAAACTGAATAGGAAAAAGTTAATTTGTGTTCATTTAAACAAGAAGAAGTTTGTTAATGATCTTATCATCACAATTCATAAATTGTTTGCAAAAAAAGTAGCTAGTAACTCCAGAGCCTGTATTTTTAGAAACTATAGACTCAGGCTTACTGAAAAATGTTGATGATTTTATTTGCCTGTAGGTAGTTTTTTTCATATTTTATTGGTCAGAACTTTAGGGAATTTTCGTCAAATGGAAATTTTCCCATATCTAGTTTTTAGTATAGTACCTATACCCGTAAATTTACTATAAATTCCCAAAATTAAATTGAAATTAAAAAACAAATGAGTTGTTTTAACTACAATATAAATTGTGCAACAAGTGAAGAAAATGGGCAATTACACTAGCGAAGCTAGCGTGTCAAGAATGCTATAGTTCAAAGTTGGCTATTCTTCAAGAGTTTCACATATTATTTTGTATCAAAATTTAACAAAAACTTTATAACCGGATAAGGCATACGTATTAAAAAATTAAAATTCTCATTAAAATTTTCAGACCCCTCTGAAAAATTCCCGGGAATTTTCTCACTATCATTATGGTAGTATAGTTCTATTATTACCTATTTAATTATCAGATAAACGACAAATTTCGTATAAATTAAACACAGTTAAGTATTGTGTATGATGTTATAAAAAGAAACAATTTATGAGAGTAGGCCACAATAGAGTAATTGCATCAAAAATGAAAATCTCTAAAAACCTTTTTATTGTAATCTAGAGGTAAAAACACATTGCGAAAATATTTTTTTATATTCCAAAAGTTCAACCCGGCCCCAAAATATCAAATTGAAAAAAAGGTACTTTTCAAACGTTCCGAACTCCCGCCATATTGCATGACGTCATAAGCTTCACCAGCTGTCAGAAATCAAGATGTCAACAAATAATAAACACCGATAAGTTTATGTTTATACATGGAAAACGCGAAACCAAAAATTGGTTGTAAATATTGTTTTGTGCCTTGTTGTACAAATACAACCTGGAAAACTCCTGGGAAAGTTGTCCCTTCAATTATCAAAAGCAAAGTTTATGACCCTACACTGAGAGTAGTTACGGCTCAGCCGTATTTTCTTGAATTTATTAATATTTAACATACCTATTCAAACCATATACCTAGTAAACGACATTTTATTTTACTTACATTAAAATGATCCTTAAAATGAGCAATAAAATGGTGACGATGTTTTGATATCGCGCCGAGCTATTTTAATCCACTTTATCCTTATTTTCCCTTTTGGCACGGTGATAAACCTTTTCCCAGGAGTTTTCCAGGTTGTATTTGTACAAGGCACAAAACAATATTTACAACCAATTTTTGGTTTCACGTTTTCCATGTATAAACATAAACTTATCGGTGTTTATTATTTGTTGACATCTTGATTTCTGACAGCTGGTGAAGCTTATGACGTCATGCAATATGGCGGGAGTTCGGAACGTTTGAAAAGTACCTTTTTTTCAATTTGATATTTTGGGGCCGGGTTGAACTTTTGGAATATAAAAAAATATTTTCGCAATGTGTTTTTACCTCTAGATTACAATAAAAAGGTTTTTAGGGATTTTCATTTTTGATGCAATTACTCTATTGTGGATGTGGAGCATAGAAATAACACTGTAGTGTTATTTCTATGATTTCTATGATGTGGAGTAGGCCATAGACAAAAGTATGGAGTAGGCTTTTCTTAATAAAGCATTGTTGCCAAGTCAAACTTTTTTAACTCCTTAACTATATTGTGCGTATTTTTACTCTATTTAGCCCCAAACTATCAATAAATTGGCTATTACAATATTAATTAAATATTAGTTTGTTATTTATCTTTAATATATCAACGATTTTTCCCTTTTCTGGGTCAATATCGCGTCGCGTAAATCCGGCAACGTTGCAATCTTCATACGTCAAAAAATCTAGTGGGTTGACAACTTGTCATATTTATCCGGTAATTTTCGAAAATTAACTTAAATTGGAAGATTTCTGACACATTTATACCATGGTGAGTAAATAAACGCACATTTATATCGTTTAAACAGTACAAAACCTAACAGAAAATAATGTATATGGCGATAAGTAACATAAACAATCCGCCTCCTTTTATTGAACCATTCGTTCTATTTTAGATTCGCTTTATATTAATACAAAACAGGGCAGGTAAAACGAGGCTGGCAAAATGGTACATGAGTTTTGACGATGATGAAAAGCAGAAACTTATTGAGGAGGTTCATGCAGTGGTCACTGTGCGAGATGCCAAACACACAAACTTTGTAGAGGTGTGTACAAATAAAATCCTTGGCGGAATTTTTAAATTTAGCTAACGATTTCTGTGTTTTAGTTCCGGAATTTTAAAATAGTTTACCGCCGATATGCGGGCCTATACTTTTGCATATGTGTAGACGTAAACGACAACAACTTGTGCTACCTAGAAGCCATTCATAACTTCGTCGAGGTTTTAAACGAGTATTTCCACAACGTATGTGAGTTAGATTTGGTGTTTAACTTTTACAAAGTTTACACAGTTGTGGACGAAATGTTTTTGGCCGGTGAAATTAGGGAAACATCCCAAACGAAAGTCTTAAAGCAATTGTTAATGTTAAACTCACTGGAATAAGGATTTTATACCTGGGTTGTTGAGATTTGTTGTAGGAGAAATAATTGTTTGTTTGTATATTTTTATGCACAATATTTATGTAATAGTGTTTTTTGTGTTCGGTTAAGTTTTTAAACTCATATTTTAAGCTTATTATTTTTCCTACTCCAATTTTAAAACAATCTGAATCGGTTACACAAGCCAGTGTACCTACATGTCTCCATTGTGTATATTTCATGTAAATTAAAAGTTTTAAATAATTTAATGTCTATTTTAAGTTCTATCAATTACAAATATGATTTAAATTAATTTAGATAGTTATGTAACTGTATTGTTTTCTTTTTATAGTTTATTGAAAATACTCAAAAAAATATTTGCCATTTTTTGTTGACAACTAATTTAAGTGCTTGCTGAATAAAAAAAAAGGAACCAAAAATTAGGTACCCCGTAAATATTAGAGCCAAACAATATCAAAACCAAATTGGCATCTGGAATGCTATATGTTTAAGTTATTTTCGAATTTTAAGTTGTAGATTTAATGATAATTTGTAAAAGTTGACATTCCAATAATTATAAACAGAACATGTTTGAATGCTACCATAAATTCTCTGGTAGAACAAAAAGTAGATAAAACCGTCATTTATTAGGGTTTTTGGTAGTAATTCTTACAATGTCGATTGTTGTGTTCAAATGTTATATTAGGTAAATAAAGTATGTAATTATTAATTTTTTTTAAATCATCCTTTTACATGTTATGTAAAAAACAACATAATTAAATTAAACAACATTTTATTTTATTATAAACAAAACTGGCCTTAAATTAAATATTTAAATAATTAAATCTAAATTGATGTTCAATCATTTTGTACATGGTAATTTTTTAAATTACAGTTATCTTAGTAAATTTGATAATTTATATCCGGTTTTGCAAGTCTTGTAGCATAGCTGAAAAGGATAAAAAAATAATTAAGCAAAATTAATGAAAACATTGTGTATGTCATTAAATAATCAATTTTTAATAGCAGTTTTATGAAAATAAACCAAATAAATAATATATGGACCATAATGATTGACAAATATAATAAAATTAATGAAAAATAATTAAGCAAAATTAATAAAAACATTGTGTATGTCATTAAATAATCCATTTTTAATAGCAGTTTTATGAAAATAAACCAAATAAATAATATGATATGGACCATAATGATTGACAAATATATTTTAATAGGTTAGTAAAAAATCCTAAAAAATCAGTTCAATTCAGTTAAAAACTTATCATTCTTAAAATATGTTTTTCTTTGATAATTTTTATAAAAAGTAAATCTTACCTCTACGTCACAATTAATATAAATTTGTTCGTTTTCGGGAAATTTAAACGCCTTAAAACTAGTGTACAAAAAGCTTTTGATTTCTTCTCCTTCAGGTAAAGTATATTTTTGCCACTCCCCAGTATATTTAATTTTCCTATAAACAAAATCAGCAGGTTTTTTATCAATTTGTAAAACGGTAGGCATTAAAAATGTCTTATGGAAAAGTTTTTTATCTCTGGACAGATAATCCTCAGACCATTAGACTATATGTAGATAGACAGATAATTCTTAGACCAGTTATTTCTAGATGTGTCGATATCGATTTTTCGTGGTATAACTTGAGGATTTTAAGCCATAAGACATTTTCAATGTCAAAAATAATTAACGTAAATACTTGCCTGTATATTCGCCCGGAAAGTAGAAACTTATTTTTCGCGTTGCTTATGGTTTTTGAATCCGCTGCCCAACATTGATTTACTCTGACATCATACATGTTACTTTTGTCTCTCAAGTAAACATATACTGTTAACGGATCTCCAACATTGACCATATTACTCTCCAAAACATCCGTCTGCAAAAGAAAGCATACAAAATTAATTTTTCACCGCTTAAAAAGAAATCCTAAAATACATAAAACCTTTGTTAATGGCAACATATTTTCAAAAACTATATAGGTTTTTATATAAAATTACAAATTGACCAAGAGAAACTTTAAAATTTAAATTATCTATATTTAAAACAAATTTTAAATAATTGTTGTAATAAATAAGAGAAATTTTTACGTAACATTTTGTTACCAAAATGTTTATATTTATGTACAAAGGTTTGTCATCCTACTGCAGACAATTTTTTGTGTATGGTACTTTCTCATGTGATATATTATTTTTTAAGTATGTAATAGAAAATAAAAAAGTAGATGGTTTAAACATAAAACGTTGCAACGCGTTGGTTAATAAGTGTAAAATTGATACCATAGATGACCAATGAAAATTTTGATTTATTATATCCCGGGCAATCAATTATTAATTATAATATACAGGGTGTCCCAAAAATATCGTGAGGTTTTTGTGTTGTAATTTTAAGAAAAACGAGAAAAATTTAAACTTTGAAACAAGAACAATTTATTTCTCTAAATTTTTTAGGCGCAAATAGGGAAACCCGGAAAAATTGGGGAAAAACTGATTTTTCAGTTTTTTCCCAGGCCTTGAAAAAATTGTCTTTTTAGGGAAAAATTGAATTTTTTTGTTGGAAAATATAGACATTTAAAAAAGTATCAATCAAGATCTTGGCATTATTTTATTTATTTAAAAAAAAATATCCTTACAGAAAAAGTAAACAAAACTAAACATTGCATTAAATTAAATTGATTTAAGAAAATAAATGTTAAATATACTGTGGGTTGGGTCTTTTTTGCAGAAAGGAGTCCATTGAAAATATCCAGTTATACACCACCAAATATGTGTTTTTTGCGACCCGGTAGAATATTCTTACTGAATTATGAATACAGGGTGAGTCATTTAACTTAAAACTTTGAAATATATCAGTTAGTATACATTTTACGAAAAAATGTTTAAAAATAAAAATTAAATGATTCGAAGGGGGAAATAAATCTCTACTAAAATTGGTCCTCATACTCTCCTTATAGGGGGAACAGGGGGTAACTTTAACATTTCCAATGGAACACCCTATTTTTTATTGCAGATTCGGATCATTCCACTAAAATAGGTCTTAAAACATTTTGTCATATTTCTAATAGATGGCGCTGTAATGAAAAAAATCAATTTAGTTCGATTTTTTTTCTTATACGATTCTGCAATAATTTTTCTATAAAAATATCACTTTTTTGGTAGGTAATAATTATCTTATTAAATTAAATCTGATTTTTTAGTACCCACGATTTTTTAACTAATATTTAAGTTTCCTGTGGTTTAAGTTTTATACATTATTTCATTCGGTGGTAATTATTAATTGCGCACCATGGTCACTTTTTACCTGCCTGCATTAAATCCTTTAATTTAAAGGATTATTGTCCTATTTTTAATAAAAATACCTCATTTAAGGTACAAAAACATTATTTCGTCACTAAATTAATTTAATACTAAGTAGGTAATTGAAGTATAAAAAATGGTATTTAGTTATAAATAATAATTAATATTGAGGTATAAAGAAACTATAAGTACATAGTTTAGGATTATTTAATCAATTTAGTTCGAATATTAATTTGCTAAAAGGACCTCCTCTCGTTAAGCAGTTATTCATAATGGATTTTTTAACAGTGGAAGAAAAAATAGAAATGATTTTGATTTATGGAGAAGCAGGCAGGAATCCAGAGGAATCTTAATGATGCTATTAATATCTACGCTCAGCGTTTTCCAGAAAAAAATCGATCACGTACTTCATTTCACCGTTTACTACAAACGGGAGTGTTCAACCGAAAAAAAGAGTTCGCCGAGCAAATATTTAATATTGATATTTTGAGCACCTACTTTAATTTAAATTTAAAAAATAAATAAATAAATTTAAAAAATAAAACCAAGTATTTTATTCAAAAATTATTGGAGAATCGTATACAGAAGAAAAATCGAAAAAAATTGATTTTTTTTCATTACAGCGCCATCTATTACAAATATAAAAAAATGTTGTAGACAAAATCTACCTATTTTTAGTCGAATGATCCGAATTGGATATTTTAAAGTTACCCCCTGTTCCCCCTAAAAGGAGGAGAGTATGAGGACTAAGTTTAGTACTGATTGATTTTCCCCCTCGAATCATTTAATTTTTATTTTAAATATTTTTTCGTAAAATGCATACTAACTGAGATATTTCAACGTTTCAAGTTAAATGACACCCTGTATATTCAGCGTCAGAAATTAACTTTTTTCTCGATATTAGTGTCAAAATTTCAAAAATTTGACTTCTGCATTTTTTTGTGATACCCTTTGAATAAACTGAAAAAAATGCAAAATTCAATTTTTCTGAAAATTTCCCAACTTTTCCACTTTTTTCCAATTTTACCGGAAACTTTGAAACCCTAGGCACTAATAATATTAATTTGAACTTAAAGAATAATTATTAAAAAAAATAATACACACATAAGGAAACGTCCCTTTCTGAACCTCAATCCATGTTAAAACTGGTTCATCAGAAGTAGGCACATCGAAAAATTTAATATTTATATGCGATTTAACCACCACCATTTGGGGTGCCGAAATCGTCACATTATTATCTTCAACCACCTAAAAAATAACAATATTAATAACTTTTTATCAATTAATTAATTTTACGCACACTTTTTAACGGACTTCCGCAACATGCAGAACAAAAAACGACGAGGATCGTTAAAATTATCGGATGTTTTTGTCGTCGGCGGTCCATCGGTCTCTTGTAGTGCGTCGATTAGATCTAAAAAACGAAATGAACACTGTCGAGTGAATTCACACGAAAATCTTTGGTGACCCAGATCGAGTAGGCCAGGAAATGCGGATTTCGATTGTCACCACTACACATCGATTGATTTGGGATCTACCGATGTGCACGATTGTTTTAAATTCGATGTCATGATGTTTATGTCAATTTGTTTATAATTTGTTTTCCAGTAATGGGAAATTTAATTGGTTATTTGCAATAAATATTAAGGTGGTCGTTAAAAATGAAATTTTTTGCGACCTTTCCTAAAAAGCTTCTTTTTGATGCAAAAACACTGGAATTTTTTTTTTAATTTTAAACAACACGTGCCTCAAAACGATCTAAGTTAATTTTTTGGTACAATCATGTTTTTTGGGAATTTTTTATGACAAATAAAATCAATATAGAATCCAAATCAATAAAAAAAACAATAGTTAATCGAAATGTTTCCCAGTTGATTTGGTCTATTAAATAAAAAAAAATAATGATATTCAAATTGATATTTATATTTTAAAACCAAATTAGTACAAACGTAATTTTAATATCTAGATTTCTTCACTCCAAGGTGAATTTATTGAATAGTGGCGGCTGTTGGATTTTATAAAATACATATATGTATACCAATATCTCAGTTATTAGACATGTGACCCACACCAAATTTATAATAGTTTATAATGACATTAATAAACAAGTTTGGCGCAAACAGAATTTTAATTGAAGTTTACGAAAAAAATTTATTTGAGATAATTCAAATTAAAGTGGTGCAATTTAATATCTACTATAATTTATCGACAAATTTAAAATTTAGGAGCATCATCGAGTTTTAAAATTTCCCATAGAAATACACGATTTTTTTTTCGTTTTTTCTTCCTACATTCTAGATGGGGTTTTAAAAGGTCGGAAAAAAACGGAAAAATTGGAGAAAAACTGCTTTTTTTGTTTTTTCCCAGGCCTTGGAAAAATTGTCTTTTGTGGGAAATATACACATTTGAAAAAAGTAG